GACCTCCAGGGATCAGCTACTACTCCCCCGAATTGAAGGAAGAGTGCAGGCTCAGGCCTCAGTCCCTGGGGCGGGGCAGCGCTGCGCTGCACTCCCTCACCCGCTGCCGGCTGCAGCCCTCTCCTTGGCAGTCTCTCCTCTGTTTTCCCATCTGTCTCTCTCCTTCCCTCACACCCCCTCCCTGCCCCAGCAGCCCATCCTCTCCTGCTGCTTCCCCTCCTGTTCTCTGCTTTTCTGCCCTGCTGGATAACTGGCTTGCTCCCAAACCTCAATCACACTGCATTGTGGGGCTTCTGGTCCTGCCTCTGCCACACAGGGAGCCTATTTGCCCTCCACTCTGCTTCTCCTTATTGGCTACCCCTTACATGCACACACATACACACACACACACCACATGAACACTTAGAGAAGGAGAGGCAGGCAGGGTGGAAAGTGGATTTCCAAGCAGTGTTAAACTCTGATGGGGCAGGAACTGCTAGGACATAGTCACAGGAAGACCCCCACCCTAGAGCAGAGGTCTGCCTCTTTCCCACCCCTTTCTCACCAGTACTAAACCCTATAAAGTCTCAGGAGGCAAAAGCAGACTGGGGAGCAATCCAACCTTTAGGGTAGAGGCCAATCCCACCCCTGCTACCCCAGAAGTGAGGGGCTGTCTCCTTTTCCTTGGTCCTGTGACAAAAAGCAAAGAAACTCTTCTGACCTTGTGACCTCAGGAGTAGTCCAGCCATTCTCTTTTAAGGCCTTTTCTGCCTCAGACAACAAAGCCTTGATTCTTCCTTCTGTTCTTCCTGGTTTCTTGAATCTGGCACCTGCTCACAGACTGGCATGGGCTCCCACACACTCCCTTTCTCATGTACACACACCCTATATGAATGTATCTATGCATACAGCACACATGTACATGTGCCCACCCATGCATATGTATACAATCATTGTTAGCTACTTGTATGTAAATACAGCACACACCCATGTACAAACACACTACCTCTGTGGGGAGCAACTCACCTTGGCACCTCCTACCTTCAATCTCCTTCCTTCTCATCCTCACTCCTGCATAACCCTCCCCATCTGCTTCCTGTCTTGCCTTTTTGCCCTCAGTAAGCTCCTCTGGAGCCACCCACAGCCTCAGCCTCACTTTTTTTTTTTTTTTCCTTAAATGTTTTCTTGTGAATTATGTGATAGTTTACATGGGAGAACATTAGTTTTACATTCATTCTATCTTATATGTCTCATTGCTATGGTTACAATCCCCTCCATGCAATCCTTCCCCTGTACCCCCCAGGTCTTCAGCACACAGTTGCTCTCCCTCTTTGGATCTAAAGTCTCCAGCTGCTCCATCACTCCACATCATCATCTCTGGCTCCATTTCAGGCATCACTGCTTCTCTGGGTAGGGTCCCGCTCTCTGCTCTTCTCCCTTGATGGTCCTAGGGACCTCCGCTCCTAGACTGAAAAGTGAATCACTCCCCTCCTTGCTATAAAACATCTACCTTTACATTTCTGACCCTCACAATCAGTCCTGATAACAATTATTCACTATTGTATCACAAGAGACCCGTCTGCATTTCATTGCATCAGCACCGGCTAGTCAGATTGAATACTACTCACTGGAGATTCTACCTTCCTCCAGGCCCTCTGGATCTAGGTTCCCTCTTGAAAGCTTGTAAGCCAGTCATTTCTTGCCTTTGTAGCCCCCCACCCTCCATTTTGGGTAGCCAATGTCCAAGTTGCCCATCCCTGTCTACTCTGTGTGTGGAGGGGGTGGGAATGATTATTGTTGTAAGGATTTATTCCCTCTTTTGAGCTATTGCATCCATAGGTGTAGGTCAAGTTCATCAAATTGTATAAGAATAATTTTTTTTTTTTTCCTCTTCTTTTTACTTCTGGTTGACCTCTGATCATCCAGTCATTGAAGCCAGGATAAGTGGGTATTATCTGCAAGTGTGGGTGTTCTTATGCATATGCCCTCTCTTCTTATCAGCTGGACGTTTCACTCTCCACTCTAGTATTCTGTGGCTATGTCACTGACTCTGGGCCCAAGATTCCCCAGGTCTTGCCACACTGCTGGCCAACCAGGTCTTCACCCGGGTTCACAGAAGTCTATTGAACATTGTAGGGCTTAGCTCACCGCTTCATTGCTGTTTTTCCTTCACTTCCCCTTATCTGTGTCGAGTGTGGTCACCAATCAGAGCGTGTATTCCCATTGAGTCTTAGTCTTGGAAGGGGGTTTGCACTGAGGGGACCCGACCACTTGCCTTGATGTTTCCTGGGCAAGCAAGTTGCTTGTTCTTGTAGTAACAGCCAGTCTGCCTATGTTGTTTTATATTTTTCCTGTAGGTCTTTCTTTCAAGAAGTATCTTCTGTTCTTCTAGCCACTCCAGGTTGTCTGCTTGTCCTTTCAAGAGGGAATTTCCCATCTCTGGAGATCTGGATGTGGTTCAGTCAGCCTCACTTCTATATACACAGTCTGCCTACAGTTCCTAGGTGGCAAAATCTCTAATCGCTTTGCAAGGGTTTCTAGGTGAGGGAAGGGAGACGATGAGACAATTCTGCCTCTTGTTGTTGTTGTTAAAAGCCACTGAGTTGATACAGACTCATAGCAACCCTGCATAGGATTTCCGAGGCTTTAAATCTTGGCAGGAGCAGAAAGCCTCATCTTAGTTACACACAAAATAAACTGAGGTCCAGGAAGTAGAAGTCAAAGCCCCAATAAATCTAGGTGCCTCCCTTTTGTTGGCCCAATGCTCCGGTTTTAAGGCAAAGCCCTGGGCTAGGAGCAGTCAGGCATTGAGCCTCCCACCCAGGTGCCCATGAGTCCTCTCCTGGAGGGGGAGGAGTGATCTCAGGTGAGACTGGCACTGATCTCTAACTCTGACATTGCTCATTTGACTTTCCACTAATATGGTGGAAGCAGGGCTCTAGCAGGGCTCTGAACATGTCATGAGAAAGGGCTCTCCTAGCCATGGAGATCATCCTCCTGGTCACTGTGGGTATCCACCTGTGGTATCCACCATCCCACAGGGCCATGTGGTAAGTCCCCAGGTCCACATCACTGAGAAAGCAGAAGGAAAAAGGACACAGTTGGGAAGCCTGAGTGGGTTTCCTAGTTGACGTGCTATGGAAGCTGAACCAGAATCTTCTCTTCCTAATAAACAGCCTCCTGAAGGCCATGGTCTTTTCTTCATTCCTGCCCAGCCTAGCACTCAGGGGCCAGCTGTTCTTTCATTTCCCCAGTGATAAAAATGGGACACCTAGCCCAGTATTCTCAGAAGTGTGGCTCAGTGGAGCACAATGCATATGATTACATAAAGCCACCTCCCTCCTTTACTTTTCTTTTATACTCTTTTTCATCAAAGAGACTCAAGTATGTTCTTATCACCTCTGTTGTTGTTAAGTGCTATCGAGTTGATTCCGACCCATAGGTTTCCGAGGAGCAGGTGGTGGTTTTGAACCACTGATCTTGCAGTCTAGTTCGTTATCCCGCAGTGTCACACTAGGACTCCTTATCACCTCTACCTCATTCTATATAACTATGCTTGATGGACCTTTCAAGGTTCCATCTTGCATGCCTCACTACAGATTAGAAGCCTTCAATGGCTCCCTCCTGTTCAGATGGATTTCTTCCTATTCCCTGAAAATACACTGATGTTTCTGGCCTCCTTAACTTTGCCCCCACCAAGACTGCCTTTCCTCTCCACATTTTCAAAGCCTACCTTTCTTTCCAAATCCCCTAAGCCCACCATCTCCATGAAGCCTACTCCAAGGTCCATTAGGAAGAGTGAGGTCCTTCCTTTTTGCACACTGTCCACTTCTCTTCAGCTTATACCAAACACCAACATGAACCTCACCACACCCTGCCCATTCTGCACCTACTTATGGGCTGGCCTTTCATCTCTCCAACCAGACTATAAAGTATGCAGGGCAGGCTCCACCATGCCCACACCTCTGGGTACTCCCACTCCCACTCCCCCATAACCCTTGCCTTGCATAGACTGGCATTGGCACCACACATCTCGCACCAATAAGCCAAACGTTCCTGGCTTCTGATTCGCCCCAGTCACATTCCTTCAGCAAAAATCACTTGCTGCAACTGTAATGCAGTCCTGAACACCTATGAAATCTTTTCTGCTTATCCAGATCGCATATTAGGGACTCTCTCTTCTCTGCCAGAATTCTTACACTGCCAGTATCTATTCTAGTTCGGTCATCGTCCTCTAGTCAGCTCTGTTCATGGCCCGTCACACTCAAATGTGCCACGAGGTGACCTCCAAGGTTGGATTCTTGATGTGGCGCTATGGGATCAGCACTGAACTGTGAACCACAAGGTCGGCAGTTCAAACCCACCAACTGCTCCTTGGAAACCCTATACAGGATCGCTATGAGTCAGAACCTGATCGACGGCACTCAACAACAAGGCTAAGAAGCAGTGTAATGGTGGGTTATAAGAAAAGGAGGAGTTCTCTGAATGTCGCCCTTCCCTTCTCCAGCTCCCTTCATTTCCCGCATTTGAAGAACAGTTCTGGCTCCATGTTTGAGGGGCGCAGGCCCATACGAACCTGAAGAAATACTCAAACTAAAAAGATGCACAGCCCCAGTGGGTAGGAAAGGGAGACAGAGCGGATCCAAGAGAAATTTGGGCCTAAAGCCGCCTGGTCTTTCTGGCTGGACGTCTGCGGTTTTGGGAGATGTAAGGATCTCAGCGCAGAGCGGAGGATCGCGCTCCTTTGTTCCTCACGGGAAGACCATGTTCCCCCAGGGAAGACTGGTGAAGATTCGAGCCAGACCGCCAGACTCAAAGCAGCTATCAGCCCAGCCCCAGGACAAGGGGTTTACACCACCAGTCCCGGGGGTCTAGAGATATAGTGGTGTCAGGCGCTGGCCGGTGGTGCAGCGAAAGGCTTGGTCCCCGCCCTCCGGCATCTCTCCTATTTGCGGGGCTTCTCTTCGACCCCGCCTACAGATGGGCACGCCTGGCGCTGACGCATGCGCAGGATCCCGCCGCCACCGCGGCTTCAGCACCAGCGCACGGACAGCGGCGCCGCCCCCGGGCATGGACGGTGGTAGTCACAGCGGCGGCGGCAGCTGTCCCGCGCCCGGCCCGGGTCCAGAAGGGGAGCAGCGGCCCGAGGGGGAGTCCTTGGCCCCAGACGGCAGCTCCCCAGACAGGTAAGGCAGACTGCTCCGCAGCCCCAGGTTCGCAGCCTTTCCAGCACCCCGCCCCAGGTACCCCCAGTAGCCGCCATATGCCGCTCCATTCATTCCTTGACCCCACCCAAAACCCCTCCCCGTGGTCTCTTCGATCCAAGTACCCCCTTGCCACGCCCTCATCCTGCCGGGTCAATTTCCCCGCTCCCTGACACCCCCTAGTGTCGGTCTCAAGGTTCTCACCTCCCGGGGGACCTGCCCCACCCACTGTCTACCTTTCCTCTTAGGCCTAAGGTGCCCACTCCCCTCCAGCCTCCGAGTCCCCTTGACTAGTCCCTCCCACCTGGCCTTGTCCGTGCGTCTTCTCTGGAAGCCCCTGACCTCAGCACTGGACCAGCGTGTCAGGGTGCATGAGGGTGCGTATGTGTCATGCGGAAGTCTTGCGAAGACAGGTGTCCTGGGACGGGTAGATGCTCTTCTACCACGTCAGGGATTGTCTTTGTCCAGCACCGTCTGTCTCCTGCTTGCCCTGCTTGGCTCCAGCTATGCACGTGTGGGCCAGAGTACCCACATGCAGAAGCCACCTGCATTCGGCACTTGCTGGAGCCGCTAGCGTGGGCAGGCTTTGAAGCTTGGCCTGCAGTCTGCACCTCCTCTGAAGGAGCCCCGCCCCAGGCTGGTGGGGCAAAAGGGACAGCTTCCTGCTGAGGACCACATCCTGGTGCCTCTCTTTTGCCTTCCTCCACTATATGTGTGAGGAAAGAGCCCACAGCCCAGGTAGCAATATGGCGTAATTTCTGTGTCCTGTCTGATACTGCCGCCCCCAGAATCCTCTCCTGACATGGCAATGCCTGTCTCTCAGGCCTAGGCAAAAACAAAAGGTATTATTTAGAGGGTAGAATTAGAGGTGGGCACACTGTCTCCAGACTGCCCCATTCAAATGTATATTCTGTACCTCAGAGGGAAGACCCCACAAGTGAAATGTTTTTTCCCTCTGTTGTTAATACACCAGCGTAAATAGATTTATCCACTTTTCAGTCTAAAAGCCACAGAACCTTCTTTGAGAAAGTGAGCCGTCCCTGGGCCAGGTGTCTTCCTGGGCCAGGGATAGATCTGCGACAGGCAGAGACCTGGGGCCTAGAACATCCCTAGACGGGGCTGGACAGTCATTTACTGCCATGGCTATTGTGTGGTCTTCTCACTTTCCTTGCACACAGCGGGCATTTTGGGGCATAGGAACCACTTACTGTCTTCCAGCAACTCCTTGGCACCTTTGGCCCCTCAGTGCACTTCCCTAGAGTCTTTAATCCAGCATAGGGACTCAGTACAATTTACTTCAAGAACACAAATGTGCTCCTGCTTCTGGGGATAGAGACATAGTGAGTAAGACAGCAAATACACTCTCTCCTTTACAGATGCATGCACTTTAGAACAATTTGAAATATTTGATTCTTTGTGTTTTTTAAATTACTCCCTTACCCTGCTTTTTTCCCTAATGGAATAAGCTGCTGCCCCATCTGTCCTGGCCACCTGCATGTTGATGTGTGTCCATGTGGCTGTGTGTCTGTAATCATGTACATTTGCCCCTTACATGGTTCCTGTGTATGGATTCTGTGTTTGGGACCCTGTAAGTCAAGGCCTAACTGCTGTGATGTTGGTCTCTTGTATGGCACGGGCCACCACATTCCATCCCCCACCTGCCTGCCCCAGTCACTTGGTTTATAGGCCAGCAGGTCTAGGCAGGCAGCCCAGGAGGCTACACATCCCAGGAAGGTCTATGGAACTGAGACTGTGAGAATGAAAGCAGCCCTGGGAGGTGAGGCCTGGAGTGCTTAACTTGTATTATTACTAAGTCTCTTGGGAGCAGAGGGCAGCAGGGACTGCCAGGAGAAAGCTTTTATTCTCAGAAGAGTAGAGTTTGGCTCTTCTCATTTTGGAGAGTTGAGACAAAGTCCCAGCTCCACAGTAGTCAGAATGTCGTGATTTTCAAACTCTGCCACATTGACAGCAACAGGCACAGTCAAGAAAGGTGAGCTCTGGGGCAACTGATCTTAGATGTCTGGAGAAAGATAAAAGGGAGCTCAGGGCTTGGAGGGACCCTAGTGGAAGCATACCAATGGTGGAGGCTGGAATCCCCCTTAGGCGGGAGCCATTAAAAAAGAAGTGGGTTCATGAAGCCTGACTGACTGGTTAAGGGGATGTTTCCCATTTTCCAGCACTCCCTGGGGTGCTGGCTTCCCTTAATGTAAAAAACTGATATCCAAAACGGGAGCCTGGATCCTAGGAGAAGCCCAGTACTTAGTACTCTAAGGCCATGAGCAGCCAGAACAGAACTCTCACCTCCACCCTAGCTGCCCACCCTCCTGACCCCTGGTTAGTAGACTGTGCTCTAAAAAGGGAAACTAAGACTGATGGGTCACTTCCATGCCTTAAGGACCCAACCCAGACAAAGCACGGTGGCCAGTACCTGGCAGGTGATCAGAAAAGACCCTTAGAATAAAGATAAATAAATAAACAAGTAGCTGTCCAAACATCTACTTGTCCAAACAATCCCAGGTCATTTCTCCAGCTTCTCTTTGACTTACAGGGATTGGTCTACAAGGTCTTTTATCTGCCAAGAAACTGATTGTTTATGTCACTAACTTGCATTGTGGAGTTATCTGAGATCTTGTTGTAGAACTACTTTGGTCAAATTCCTATTTTTCTAAATGTTGAATTAGCAAAAACATATTAGTGATTTAAATCATGAGATTGAATTTTTATGCAGCTTTTGGATGAAGTACAGGCTCCCTACAACATATTAAAAGTGGAAAGGGGCAGGAAAGCATATGGATCTCCTATATGCCAGGTTCTGTGGCAGGCACCTCACATATACTATTCCAGTTACTCCCCATATCCACCCCAAGACAGGCATTATCACTATGCTCTCACTCAACAGACAAGGACACTAATGCTTCCAGAATTTCATGTCCAAGGAGCCAGAAGCCACTTCCACTGCTCCCCCAATTTTGCCCTTAAAATAAGGATCATTCCTTCCCAGACTGCTATGCCCACCAGCCATCCTATTGGAAGAAAGAGGAAGAGCTTACCTCTTCATTCCAATTCCTCTATTTGATCTCTGTCTGGGTAGAGCCCAGTCTCTGTGTGTGATGTTCACCAGCACTGCAGCCAACCACTCTGGCCCGCAACCCCTTCAGCAGTGCAATAGGCAGGATTGGAAGACAGTGTTGGCTCACCATAGGCCTGGCTCTCCAATGAAAGCTGTGTCAGCTCTGGTGGGCTGAGCAAACCAGACGGGGTCGGGAGAAGAAAGCAGGTTTCAGCTAATGCTGTTCAACCCTGATGCCCTCTGGGCACCCTCCATGGTCCTTAGATACTCTGTTTTATAGCTGTTTTTTTTTTCATGCTAGGTCTGGCACCCTGGCTGACAAGCTTGCCCCTGGGTTGAGCTCCCTCTCCACTAAAAAAAGTGGGGCTGGGTTCATCCACAAAGTGTTACCCTCATGAGCAATTCTGGGAGAGAAATATACTGCTGACTCCTTGCCAGTAAGTGTTTTAAGGAGTCCCACCGCTATTCCCCCACTGCACATACCCTTGCAAAGCAAACCTTTTGTCCCATGCCTAGGCCATGACAGGGTTGGTGAAAGAGTGGCAGTAATCTCTGCTAACTTTTCCTGACCAGCTCCACCTCCATCAAAGTTGGGGCCCCACTCCAGCACCCCTCAGGCCTCTGTGACTTCCTCTTTCACACCAGTCAGGACTGTTTACACCTCCAGCCAACTGAGTGAGCAGGCAAGGACTGGGTCATAGTCATCCTAGCACTACACTTAGCAGCTGCCAAACACTCAATGGCACATTCTCAGAGCACATTCCGTGTGGCAGTACTGTTGAAAGCACTGGGCCTGCAGAGATGGACTAACGGACCAGGCCCCACTCTCTCAGAGCTCACATTCCATTGGAGAGACAGACAATAAACATGATAACTCTAGTCTCTCCACTACCTGGTGCTGCTGCAACACAAGTATCACAAAGAGGTAGCTTTAAAGAGCAGAAATGTATTTTCTTACCATTCACGAAGCCAGAAGTCCAAATTAAGGGACTGATTCTAGGTGAGGTAGGCCCTTCCTTATCTATTTCAGCTTCTAACTGCTGCCACAATCCTTGGCATTTCTAGGCTTGAAGGTATGTCTGTCTTTATTATCTGTCTCTTTTTCAACCTAGAAATGATTAGGTTCGTTGTTGTTAAGTGCTGCTGTCATAGAGACCCTGTATTGTGTTTCCGAGGAGCAGCTGGTGGGTTTGAACAACCAACCTTGCAGTTTTTAGTCCAATGCTGATCTTACAGTGCCACACCAGGACTCCTGATTAGGTTTGTTGCTGTAAAGTGCCATCGAGCCGGTTCCAACCCATAGAGACCCTGTATAGGGTTTCTGAGGAGCAGCTGGCTAGTGAGCTTGAACCACGAACCTTGTGGTTCAAAGAGTACAGTAGGTGTTTAATAAACGTCTGATTGTAACACAAGGATCTGAGTTCAAATTCTCACAGGTTAAATAACCTCTTCTGAACCTCCACTCACAAATCAATAAAAAATAATTTCCCTTGTAGAGTTTTTGTCAAGAGTGAGTGAGATCTTATACAAAAGGGCTTCAAAATGTTTGTGGCAGAATTCCATTATCTTTTTAAAATATTTGTTTTGTATTGTGAACTGGGTGAATGGTTACAGAGCAGATCAGTTTTCCATTCAACAATTCATGTACATTTTGCTTCATGTCATTGATTGCAATCCTCACAATGTAACATCACTGATCCCACTTCCTCCCTGTATTTCCTGTTTCCATTTCTCCCTCTTTCCCAATCCTTCTGAACTTTGTCCTTGGGTAAATGCTGCCCTTTTGATCTCAAATGGCTGATTATTCTAATGTGTATGTACCTCCTTAGTCTTACTGATGTCCTTACAAACCTGCCTACTGTTTGGCTGAAAATTGAGCCATGGGAGAAGAGTTCATTTTCAGACTTGAAAGGTGACTAAGGGTCATAGTCTTGGGGATTTCTCCAGTCTCTACTGACCAGTAGTCCTGTCTTTGAAAAAAAAAAAAAAAAAAGATTCCATTATCTTTTCATTTCATTTTTCCAGGAACTTTTGGAAGTCCCCTTATTTTAAAAATAAGATTATATATGTGAAAACCCAGTGCAGGATGCTGTCTGTTGAATGTGTGGATGGATGAGTGAATGAATGAGGTAGGCTGGGGCTGCAAGCTGAGCTCCCATCTGCCTTATCTCTCCCCCAGAACTAGTTATACAACAGCCCTGAGGCCTCATCCCTTAGCTGGGCTTACTGAACACTGCTGGGTTACCAGGGCCCATCCTCATACCTTATGGTGAATTTCCTTGCCCCCTCTTTCTCCAGGTCCCAGACCAAGGTTGTGGCCCCTGAGGCTAGCCCAGAGAGAAGTTGCTCTCTCCACAGCTGCCCCCTTGAGGACCCTTCCAGCTCTTCAGGACCTCCACCAACAACCAACACCCTCCAACCTGTGGGTCCGTCCAGCCCCTTGGCCCCTGCCCAATTCACCTATCCCCGGGCACCACAGGAATACCGGGGGGGCAGTTCCCTGCCAGGGCTTGGGGACCGGACAGCTCTGTGCTCCCATGGCTCCAGCCTCAGCCCTTCCCCAGCCCCCTCACAGCGTGATGGGGCCTGGAAGCCACCGTCTGTGCAGCACCATGTGGTCAGCGTCAGGTAAGGAGGGGTCCAGCAGCCAGCCAGCTGCCACTAGTAGGTGGGCCAGGGTTTAAAAGTGGGCTAGCCCCCAGGGCTCTGGACTCTTATAGGAGACAGCCCTGGCATTCTCTGTCTCTGGTGGAGGAGGCAGTCCACATGGAGAAGAAAGTAAGGGTTGGAGCCATAAGTGGGAAAGGCACAAAAGGGTTAATGCCATCTGTCACCTGATCTCCCCTCCTCCCAACTCCCTAACTCCACACTTACCTGCAAGAGAACTCTGGCAAGCAAGTGTCTTTTCTTCCCTTCCACAGGCAGGATCAGACCTTTCAGATGCCAAAGAGGTAGGCCTGGCCTTCTCTGGGCCCAGCTCAGCCCCACCCCAAGTGTTCTCTTCTCTACCATCCCTTCTTGGGGGCCGCTAAGCTCACCCAGCCCCCTGTTCCCACACCCCACACTGATTCATGTGTGTTCCCTCCTCCTTTCCAGCTACTCCCAGCTGATTGCTGAGTGGCCAGTGGCCATGCTGCTGTTGTGTCTGGCTATAGTCCTCCTCTGCACCCTGGCTGGACTGCTTGGGGGCCAGCTGCCGGAATTCTCCAAGCCCTTGCTGGTGAGGGACCCATGGGATGATGGGGAATACCCAGGCCTGGTCACTTCAGTTCAGTCTGGTGCAGAAGGTTGGAGTGGGTCAGCCGGGGGTGGACTCTCACTCTCCCAAGAGAGTTGGGAGAAAGAACCGAGTTCATACTCATTTCCTACAATCCAGGCAGACAGGCTGGACCTCACAGGGAACCAAAGGGACAGAATGAGAAGGGCCCAGATGGAGGGCCCAATGGAGAACTCCTCCCTTGTCCACATGCCCCTTCTCTGTCCCTCCTCCCTACAGGGCTTTGAGCCACGGGACACGGACATTGGGCGCAAGCTAGTGGTCTGGAGAGCACTACAGGCCCTTACAGGCACCAAGAAACTACTGTCTCTTTCCCCAGACCTTGAGCTGAACAGGTAACAAGTTTCTGTCTTTCCACTGTGGGCAAGATAGGGAAGATCAAGGTTCCCAGGGAGGAGCCATTGGGTGACTACCACAAAGGCAGGTCAGTAGGGCTTGCTGGGACCCCCCTGGGGAGTGTCTGACCTCCTGTGAGCCATCCACCTTCAGTAGTAGCCCCTGGCACATATATTCTCTCTACTTCAGTTCAAACTCCCATACCACTCTGAGCCCCTCATCCTGGGGCAGTGGCCAGGAGGCCCTCGTCCGGCCTCGGAGGATGGTTGAGCCCCTGGAGGACAGAAGGCAGGACAGCTTCTTCTGTGGACCCCCTGGTAAGCTGCAGCCTGGCCAGTTCCTGGCCAATCCCTATCCACCTACTAAGACAGAAGACCTGGGAGAACAGACTGGGGCAGTCAGAAAGGGAAGGTGGCCAGCTGACTATTTTGAAGCCAAGGAAGTAGGGTTACAGCTGGGAAGATGAGGTAGGTCTCAGATGCTCTAGTCAAGAAGGGTCAAATCGACTTAGGGGGAGGTGCAAGGACCAGGACTAGACCCAGGATCAGCAGCCAGGTCCAGGTTTCTGGCTTTTGAGCATTTGGACCTCATCCGGTCTTGGGGAAGCAGCTTCCCTTTGGTGGGCCCAGAACCTGGGGCCAAAGGGCTGAGCTCCAGGCATTATGTTGCAGAGAAGAGTTATGCACAGCTCGTGTTCATGTCCACCTCTGAGGGCAGCCTGTGGAACCTGCACGCCATCCATTCTATGTGTCGCATGGAGCAGGACCAGGTGAGCTGGCTGGAAAGGTTTCAGGGGCCAGGGGATACCAGGAATAATAGGGACCTGACCCCAAGGAAATATAGCTGAGCCAGGCTGGCTGGGGTGGACTGGGGAAGAGCATTTCCTGCCTAGCAAATGATTCCAACACTACTCTGGGAAAGGAAGAGTCAGCTGTTTTCAGATGAGCAAAGACACAAGTGCTGGAAGGGAAACCATTCATTCACTCATCCATCAGTCTGGGGGTTTACAAAAGGTCTTCAGATGACGTTTCAGGGGTTGTTGAGTTGCCCTCAAGCCCCAGCCTCCATCAACCCAAGCAGTGCCAATCCAATTATGCTAACTGGAGATCCAAACAACTAACATCTGAGGAAAGAACTGCTGCCAAAAACACTGTGCTGAGTACTAAGTAGCCCAAGTCCCTCACTTTACATGACGGTATCTGAAGTACCAAGAGACACTTGTTAAGAACATGGCTCTAAAGTCAGATGAGCAAGTTCAAGGCCAGTTCTACTGCTTCCTAGCTGTATGACTTTAAGCAAGTTTCTTAACTTCTCAGTGCCTCCATCTTTATATATATATATTTGTTGTTGTTGTTGGTTCTGACTCATAGTGACCCTGCACAGGGTTTCCGAGGCTGTAAATCTTTACGGGAGCAGAAAGCCTCATCTTTCTCCCGCGGAACAGCTGTTAGTTTCGAACTGCCGACCTTGAGGTTAGCAGCCCGATTCGTAACCACTACGCTACCAGAGCTCCATATATATTTGTTGTTGTTATGTGCCGTGGAGTCTGTTCTAACCCATAGCAACCCTGTATAGTGTTTCTGAGGAGCAGCTAGTGAGCTTGAACTGCTGACCATGAGGTTCAAACTGACTTTGCAGTCCAGTGCAATAACCCACACCAGGACTCATATATATATTTGTTGTTAAGTGCCGTCGAGTCAGTTCCAACTCATGGCGACCCTGTATAAGAGGTTTCCTAGGCTTTAAATATTTACGGGAGCAGAAACCCTCATCTTTCTCCCACTGAGCAACTGGTGGATTCGAACCACCAACCTTGTAGTTCATAGTCCAATGTTTATCCTGTGGAAACCACCACACTCCCATATATAAGTTCATGGAACAGAAAGTTCATGGAAAAATTTCATTATCTTTTAATTCCATTAATTTCATTTTGTGTGTGTGGAGAGAAGAAAGAGAAGGCTGAATGGCACAAGAGGTTTATGATTAGCTGTTAACCTAAAGCTTGATGGTTCCGACTCACCCAGTGGCTCCATAGAAGAACAGCCTGGTGATCTGCTTCTATAAAAATTATAGACATGAAAACCCTCCAGAACAGTTCTACTCTGTAGCACATGAGGTCACCGTGAATCAGGGCCTGACTCGATGGCAGCTAACAAGAACTATATAATAATCAGTGACAACTGCAATCTTACAACGAGTGCTGTCTGTACTAGACCAGCTGTTGTGATGTCAGCAGCAGGGTAAAAGAGCAAAGGATGCACGAGGTCTAAGAAAGATGTACCCTTGGCCCTAAAAGGCAGGCCGATGGACAGAGAGAGGTAGGGGGCCAGGACTTGGCAATGGTCCTGATGCTGGGATGTGTTGGCTTCCACTTTCCCTACTGCTTGCTTCCAACTCTCTGAACCCTGCCACCTGCCACCTGCCCTCCCATGCCAGGCTCAGGCAGTGCAGAGTTGGAATGTGTGGCCTACAGGGGCCTCCCTCTTTGATGGCACCTGGGCCAGGAGCCAAAAGCAGTTTTGGAACAAGTTGCTTACTCCAGTCTCTTCCTTCTGTCTACTGGACTGCTTAAACCTTCTCAAGGCCAAGGATGTTTTGTTCTCAGAACTTGTACCTCCTTTTCTCTCCCACCCTGCTGTTGACATCACAAGCCAACTCTTCAGGTTGTCAAGCTACCCCTTGCAGCCTAGAAGGAGGTGAGAGTCAGGGCTGAGGGAATCTGGGCTTCTGAGTTGCCTCTGAGCTTTCTCCTGCTGTGTGTACCCTGCAGATCCGCTCCCATACTGGCTTTGAGGCCCTGTGCCAACGTACAGCAGCCAATGAGTGCTGCCCCAGCTGGTCCCTGGGCAATTATGTGGCTGTGCTCTCCAACCGCTCTTCCTGCCTGGACACTACCCAGGCTGACGCGGCCCGCACGCTGGCTCTGCTGAGGATCTGTGCCCTTTACTACCACCGTGGCGTTCTGGTGCCCTCCTGCCTGGGACCTGGGCAGGACAAGCCCCCACGCTGTGCCCAGGTTCCTACCAAATGCTCCCAGAGTAGTGCAGTCTACCAACTCCTGCATTTTCTGCTGGACCGGGACTTTCTGAGCCCCCAGACTGCTGACTATCAGGTGCCCTCCCTCAAGTACAGCCTGCTTTTCCTGCCCACCCCAAAGGGCGCCTCCATGATGGACATCTACCTGGATCGCCTCGCCACCCCCTGGGGGCTCTCAGACAACTACACCTCCATCACCGGCATGGACCTGGGCCTGAAGCAGGAGCTACTGAAGCACTACTTGGCCCAGGACACAGTGTACCCTATTTTGGCCCTGGCTGCCATCTTCCTCAGCATTGCCCTCTATCTGCGCTCGCTCTTCCTCACGCTCATGGTGCTGCTGGGGGTGTTGGGCTCCCTGCTAGTAGCGTTCTTTCTTTATCGCGTGGCCTTCCGAATGGCCTACTTCCCCTTTGTCAACCTGGCGGCCTTGGTTCTGCTCAGCAGTGTCTGTGCCAACCACACGCTCATCTTCTTCGACCTGTGGCGCCTCAGCAAGAGCCAGCTGCCCTCTGGGGGGCTGGCACAGCGTGTGGGCCGCACCATGCATCATTTCGGTTACCTGCTGCTGGTCTCGGGCCTCACCACCGGTGCGGCCTTCTATGCCAGCTATTTGAGCCGCCTCCCGGCAGTGCGCTGCTTCGCCCTCTACATGGGCACAGCCGTGCTAGCGCACCTGGTGCTCACTCTCGCCTGGCTGCCCTCTTCCGCTGTGCTCCACGAGCGCTACCTGGTGCGCGGCTGTGCGCCCAGAGCGCAGGGCCCATGGGGTGGCAGCGCGCCCCGGCGGCTGGCGCTGGCTCTGCACCGGCGGCTCAGCGGCCTTCGGAGGGCGGCCGCCGGAACCTCGCGCCTGCTTTTCCAGCGCTTGTTGCCCTGCGGCGTCATCAAGTTCCGCTACATCTGGATCTGTTGGTTCGCGGCGCTGGCAGCAGGGGGCGCCTATATCGCTGGCGTCAGCCCCCGTCTGCGGTTGCCCACCCTACCGCCGCCCCGCGGCCAGGTCTTCCGGCCAAGCCACCCCTTTGAGCGCTTCGATGCAGAGTACCGCCAGCAGTTTCTGTTCGAGCGGCTGCCTCAGGGCGAGGGCGGCTATATGCCCGTGGTTTTGGTGTGGGGCTTCCTTCCGCTAGACACCGGTGACCCCCTGGACCCTCGCAGCAATAGCTCACTGGTGCATGACCCTGACTTCTCTGCCAGCAACCCCGAGGCCCAGCGCTGGCTGCTGGCACTCTGCCACCGGGCCAGGAATCAGAGTTTCTTTGGCGCCCAGCCAGAGGGCTCTCCCACGCTGTGCTTCCTAGAGGCCCTCCAGGGCTGGATGGAAAGCTCCCACTGTGCCCGCCTGGGGCCTAGCCTTTGTTGTGGTCACTCAGGCTTCCCTTGGGCTCCCCAACTCTTCCTGCACTGCCTCAAGATGATGGCTCTGGAGCAGGGCCCCGATGGCACCCATGACCTGGGCCCCCGTTTCGATGCCCACGGCAACCTGGCTGCCCTGGTCCTGCAGTTCCAGACCAACTTCCAGTATACTTCAGACTACAACCAGGCCCACCGCTTCTACACTGAGGTCAGCCACTGGCTGGTGACAGAGCTGGGCATGGCGCCGACTGGTCTTCGCCGGGGCTGGTTCACCAGTCGTCTGGAGCTGTATAGTCTACAACACAGTCTGAGCACAGAGCCTGCCGTGGTGCTGGGCCTGGCACTAGCGCTGGCCTTTGCCACACTGCTGCTGGGGACCTGGAATGTTCCACTCAGCCTGTTCTCCGTAGCCGCTGTGGCAGGCACGGTACTGCTCACTGTGGGACTCTTGGTTCTACTCGAGTGGCAGCTCAACACTGCTGAAGCCCTCTTTCTCTCTGCTTCTGTGGGACTCTCGGTAGACTTTACTGTCAACTACTGCATCTCCTATCACCTGTGCCCACACCCTGACCGCCTGAGCCGCGTGGCCTTCTCGCTGCGCCAGACTAGCTGTGCAACAGCGGTGGGGGCTGCAGCCCTGTTTGCAGCTGGTGTGCTCATGCTGCCTGCCACAGTGCTGCTCTACCGCAAGCTGGGCATCGTCCTCATGATGGTCAAGTGTGTCAGCTGTGGCTTTGCCAGCTTCTTCTTCCAATCTCTGTGCTGTTTCTTCGGTCCAGAGAAGAACTGCGGGCAGATTCTCTGGCCCTGTGCCCACCTGCCATGGGATGCTGGTACTGGAGAGCCAAGTAGGGAAAAGACAGGCCACTCCCGACCAGGGCCAGTGGGCGGAGCCCCTGGGCCCTGCTCGGAGCAATATGAGCTCCAGCCCCTGGCCCGGCGCCGGAGCCCCAGCTTTGACACGAGCACAGCCACCAGCAAGTTATCCCACCGGCCCTCGGTCCTCTCTGAGGATCTGCAACTACATGATGGCCCCTGCTGCTCGCGGCCCCCACCAGCACCTGCCTCCCTGAGGGAGCTGCTCCTGGACCACCAGGCAGTCTTCAGCCAGTGCCCAGCCCTGCAGACCTCCTCCCCCTATAAGCAAGCTGCCACGAGTCCTAAAACCCGAATCAGGCAAAACTCCCAAGGGCAGAAGGCTGAGCCCCTGCAGACCTCACCTGAAGCCCCAGTCGCCTCCCTGAAGCCCAAGGCTACAGAGCCTTCAGATTGCCTCTGCTCCTCAGCCAGCACCCTGGAGGGACTCAGTGTCTCTGATGAGACCTGCCTAAGCACCTCTGAGCCAAGTGCCCGTGTTCCTGATTCAGTGGGTGCCTCCCCAGAGGACCTGGATGAAACTGGGCAGTCAGTATCTGTGCGGGGCCAACTAAATGGGAAGAGGGACACGCTGTGGCTGGCGCTCAGGGAGACCGTGTACGACCCATCACTGCCTGCCTCCCACCAAAGCAGCTCATCCTGGAAGGGCCGTGGGGGGCCAGGACCAGGGCCTGGGGACAGCAGCCCTGTGGTGTTGCCCAACAGCCAGCCAGATCTGCCAGACGTTTGGCTGCGCAGGCCTAGCACTCACACCTCAGGCTATAGCAGCTGAGCGAGGCCCAATGAGGCTGGGCTGGGGTGCAGAATTCTGTCAAGAATTGGGGAGTGTGGGTCAATAGCAGGCTGAAGCCTGAAGGTGTTCCCCAAGTGAGCATGGAGAAGTCTCACTTCAAGGCGCAGCTTTAAAACTCAGCCAGATATTTCTCTGCTGCTCACTCCTCACTTCTGGAGGATTCAGAGGGAAGGGCTTTTGAAAGGGAACAACAAATTCTCCCTGTGACCTGCTGAGGGCCCTTCTTCCTCAACAGCCCAATCAAGACTGACTTTCTGGAAAGGTGAAAACTAGATATGTATGAGGGAGGCTGACTGATTTCATCCCAAGTGGCAAAAAGTTCAATGGGACTCAGGGACCCAGTCCTTGTGCTGCTGACAGAAAGAAGAGCCCCTGGAAACTCCAACAGCCTCCTGGGTCTCACGCCTTTCTTGGGCTCTTTATCAGGACACCCCTGTCTCTTCGGAGAGCTTCTTTCTCTTTGGGGAGCTCTCTGGGCCAGAATTAAGCTGGGGTCTCTGTCCCAAACTTCCTCTGCTCCCCCCACACTCACCAGTCTGACCAGAAATTCTTCAAGGCCAACCAGAGAGGCTGTTGGGAATGAAGCAGGAGAAGGAAGGATGGTGAGCCTGCGCATATCCCTGAATTTCAGGATGGTCCCTCCTTTGAAGCAGGCTCTGGTGCTGTCCCCCACCACACAAAAACCTTTGCATCCCTCACCTTTCATTACAGAGCACTTTCACACCCACTGTCTCCTTGTTATCTTGCTCCTTCACTATGGGGTAGCCTGCAGTCAGCTCAGTTCTTTTGTTCCCAATTTACACTAAAGTAAATTGTCACTACATTCTGCTGTGCATAAGGTCAGGTAGCTATGAGTCGGTACTGACTGGATGGCTCCTAACAACAGCAACAAGTCGCAGAACCAGTTTCTTGATTCATACCACCACCACCACACCTCTCAATTTTCTCCTGGCCACCTGTCCCAGGGACACTGGCCTGGGGCTGTCTTGCTCCACCATCTCTGGGAGCCTCCTCTAACCTGCCTTCTCAGTTGTCTCTGAGTAACCACACACACACACACACACACACACACACACACACACACACACATTTTTAGGCTTCCATTTCCAGAGAGAGCTAGATTCTGAGCAAACTCCAGAGTCACTCCTCATTTCCTCTGTGTTAAGGCTACCCTCAGAGATCTGGCTGATCCGACTCCAGCTTCAGGAAGGAATGCGTGGTCCATGGCCACATTACTCGGAGAGCCTCTGAGGGGCAGTGGAATGCAGCAGACTTCAATTAAGACAAGAACTCAGGTCTACCCTTTTAGGAAACACTGCCCGATCCTGGGCCAACCTCACTACTGTTGCCACACTTGAGTCTGAAGCAGTTTCCCAGGTCAAAGCCCCCAGCTTCCTAAGGACAGGTCTCTCCGAAGCACACTCAGTAAGTAGGTCAAAGGCTAGCTCTCCTTTCCCAAGCAAAGAACCTCTCAGAAGTTTTATCCTATATGAGAGCTCATGACACTTGGTAGCACCAACCAGTTTACCAAACACCTACTTTGCTTAGGTAGTACAAGGAAACAGAGACATGAAAGGCAAATCAAATTCCTGCCTCATCTTCTAGTTAGGGAAATATCTCGTGTGCAGCCATCAGATGAGTCAGCAAGATTACCATGCAACATGTGCTGAGAGTGCTTAGATACCTAGGACTAGGCATCCAGGAAGGCTTCCTGGAGAGGGAATGACTTGAGCTGGCTTCAGAATACCAAGAATCTCAGACTATAAGGGACTTTCGAGATCTAGTCCAGCAGTTTTCAAACTTTATCCTTTCTTCAAAGAACCCTTATGTGGAAACACAATATGTAACAGGTTTTAAAAAGAGCTGCTCTGGTGAAAGTTGAATGGGAGAGTATAGAACCAGCTTAGTCTTGTTTTCTACGGAAGCTTGTGAGAGTAAGTAGCTCCTGGCAGCTCCACAGAAGGTGGTGTATAAATCTCTGACCCACGCTATTATACACATGACTCTCAGAGAATGGAGGGGATTTTTCCAGGGCTAAACACACAGTATGTGACAAAACTGGAGGCAAATCAGAGGTTTTTTCCTATATATCATTTGGACCTACCACCTACCCCCAAGTAGTCCATGGGAAGTGAAACAGAAACCCAAATGAGATTTGTGAACTGTGAAAGAGCCAGAGACTGTGGGCAGAAATGCAAGGCTATGTTGGCTCCTTTGCATGAGAAATGAATGAAATCCATCCTAACTCGGAACACCAAAAGGGTAGGCTGTGATGAGGATCTCACTTGGAGATGCACCTTTGAAGGTCTGCTGGAACCCCCCTCTCTTCCTGTTCCAATGGAATTCAACTTGTCTAGTGTTGGGTCCTAGCTTCTCTGCACCATGGATGGCACCCTTCTGTTATCATATAGCCAGACCAAGAGGTCTTGCTGGGATGATAAGCCAGAAGAAACACAAGATGAGTCCTTCCTCCTGAGTATGAGCCGAAGTCCTGCCTACTCAAGAATACAGTCCAGCATCTTAGTTGATTCTCAGCAACTCAGCAAGATTTTTCTGCCCTATGTTGTGAGAAGACCAAAAAAGAATCCAATACTCTCTTTTGTGTCTTGCTATTTGAGTTATGGTGTTGGAGGAGAATTGAAAGTGCCATGGGCTACCAAAAGAATCAACAGATCTGTGTTAGAAGAAGTGCAGCCAGAGTGCTCCTTGGAGGTCAGGATGGCCAAACTTCATCTCTCATACTTTGGACATAGTGTCAGGAGGGACCAGTCGCTGGAGAAGGTCATGTTATCATGTTTGGTAACCTTACCAAAGTCAGAGAAAAAGAGGAAGACACCCAACGAGATGGATTGGCCAAATGGCAGCATCGATAGACTCAAGCATGACAGTAGTGAGGTTGGTCCAGGATCAGGCAATGTTTCGTTGTGCTGTGCATAAGGTAACTATGAGTCGGTAATGACTCAATGGCACCTAACAACAACAACAAGGGAGATAGTGCTTTCTGGAAATGGAGCTTCAAAAAATTTGTCTGAACATAGTTCTTAAATGCTTGAAAGGATGGAGTGGAGTGGGCACAGGAATTGAATGCACTTGAGGGCCACACTTGGGCTTTTTCTGGGTCCCATTCCTATAGGCCATGGCTATACAACCTCTCAAGAAAGCAGATGAACCAGAACAGCTGATATACCAACTGGATTTGTGCTTTATGTTGTTGGAACCAGAGTTCATTAGTCATCTAAAACATTACCTTACACCTAGAGTAGTCCAAACTAATAGCAGGCAACCATATCGATGAGTAATTCAGCACACCTCTGTAGGCCAGATTTTGGAATACAAGATTTACAGAGTTTCAGAAGACACAGACTTAATCACTTTATGGCTAGTTACAATGAATGTATGCCCCTGGAGAGGCTCTGAAGCATTTTGTGAGATTAAGGAAAGATCCATGTTTGCCCTGGAAATTTCAAGAAATGGTTGCTCTCCGCTGGGACATTTTAAAAGACGGTTACATTAACACTTATTTGGGACTTGAGGGCATTCCTTCTATTTGTGCCACAGATCCTTGAACTCACATTCAGAGTATGTGTATGTGTGCTTTATAATTTTAAAAAATATAACTTGATATATAGTCTGTTACTATGGGAAAACCCATTCTTTCCTCATTGTGACTATTAGGGTAGCAAAGTTAGACAAAGATTGATTTGACTGGAAGAATCTTAGATCTTATTGGCACATGGCAGATTTCACATCACGATATTCTGATATTGTTCTGTCTTGAACTTGATTCTGTAAGAGACATTTCATGAGAAATTTATAATGGAAAATTCCACAGCCTCCCCTGACTCATTCCATTGTTCTCTCTCCCCCACCCCCAAATGATTGACAAAGCTGGGAGGCAGGTGAGGGGTATTGGAAAAGAGAATAAATATGTTTACAACTTTTACCCCTTGTCCAGAGAATTTCTGATCTTTTCTTCTCTGTTGTCCTTATCCCATCCTTTGAAAATACACATGGATAATGGCAACCAGTCTGGAACCTCGTGCCATGTATCCAAATCTCCTTTACCTGGGAACAGAAGAATCACACATTTTTCACCCTTATTCATGGGGGAGACTGTAACTAAAGGTCAGGAGGTGTACATGCGTAAAAGAAGAAATTGTAACACAATTCTCTGAAAATGAGAAATAAAAGAAAGTCACTATGTGCTAATATAAATGTTGAAGCATCCAAAGCTAACTTGTGCTGGAGCCCTGAAAGGACTTTGATAAACTTCTCTTATAATTATAATCAGGCCTCTGTGTGATTATTTACATTATACCTCAACACAATGAAAAGATGACTATTTTACCAAATTCATAAGCATTAAACAAATAAAAACTTTTTCATTGTTTAAGAAAATCACACAACTGGCAGATTTGTGATCACCAAACAAAAACTCAATGAGGCCCTCACTTTGCCTACCTAGTTTCCATTCTAATTACTAGTTTCAATCTTTGCTATGACACTTCACCTTCCTCAAATATTTGATGTCCTTTACTCCACCCCTTTTGAGGGGTCCCTGGGTGGCACAGGTGGTTAATTGCTCTTACCAGTAGGTGAGAAATGTATGATATGAACCCAGAAGCTCCTCAGAAGACAGGCCTGGTAATCTGTTTCTGAAAGGTCACAGCTTTGAAAATTCTCTGTAGCGGTTCTAGTCTGCACGCATGGAATTGCCATGAGTTGGAATCAACTTGACAGCAATTAACAGAAGCAACAATCCCACCATTTTCTATGTGAAAAAGGCACTTTCTTCATAATGAAAATTAAAGCCACTAGCTAGAAATTTCCTCACTAAATCTCTAAGTTACAAACCCCTTGCTCCTGCCTATTTCTCTCCCTGTCTGTATTACTTATTTAGTGCTGCTCTAACAGAAATACCACAAGTGGATGATTTTAACAAATAGAAATGTATTATAGTTTTGGAGGCTAAAAGTCCA